AGAGAGAGAGAGAGAGAGAGATCGCGGTGCTATTCAGCATAAGTGCATGCACACACACATGCAGACACATACGTAGAGGCGCACGAATATCTAAGTGTGCACCGCATTGTATCACGTATGCATAACTCAAAATTGAACGGTGTCTAGCTTTTATGGGAAGTAGGAGGGAAAGCGGAAAGCTATGCTAAACTTATGCGCGCCAAACGTTTAAAAAAACAAACGAGATACGGCGACATAAGCAGACGGCTGCGTCACGGAGAGCACCAGTCTTAGTAAAAGGTTAGTCGAGCGTTGAGAGCGGTCAAAAGACTTCGTAGCGTTACAGTTTATCTATGTACAGTGTGTTTTCGTCCTTGTTAAGTATGATACATGTGAAGTGGTGGAGTTTCGACGTATATATGATTCGTACCAAAACACGCTTGACTAGATGGCGGATTTTCCATAAACTTTCACTGTTGACGTGACCGTTCATTTTTTGCGTACATGGTTTACCGCCATATATTTGAATCAGATAAAAACGCAGTAGTTATTAGATAATGCAAAAACAAATATATGTGTATTCATTCACAGTGCCATGAACTGCTACCTATGTCGTTACTTCAAGAACGTAATCAGTAGGCTAAGAGGCCTACTTAATATGCGGGTTGTTGAGAAAGATAACAGCTAAATGATGACATCTCCCTTAGTGGTAAATTTCAACCCTGTTCGTACCTATGGAAATAATGTACCTATATATATATATATATATATATATATATATACTCCAAAAGAGCGTCATCAGCCATGACCTGCTACTACTGCATAGAACTAAATGTTTTCACCAATCGAATCATTCTATTTGCTGCGTGTTTTCTCTATGTACATTCGCTTATTAAATTGCTACGAGAGCGCAAATCTGACGTTCGAAACAGGTAGCCTAACGGCTAAGTATTTTTCTCTATTTTGAGCCAATATTACGTCTAGATATTGTTGTTATCTATTCAAATAAGGACACAGCTTAGCTATAGTAAGTAAGGTCCTTATGTGTCTGTTTATACCTTTCTGCGCCCGGCTGTCTAAAAGCAAAATGAACCATCTAGGTCAGTCAGTTTCAGCGGCCGCAAATGAGCATCCAGCAATGAACAAGCATAGCAGTAACGCCGACGACAGAGAGACTATAAAGCTGACGTAACGCCCGGTAATGCTCATTCATCATTTATTCAGTCTGCTGTGATGGCAGGCCCACATGTGGCGATCGGGATGATAAGGGCTAGACACATAAGATATCTGTCACAGCGAGGCAGAAGCAAGGCAACGGCAGGAATTAGCCGTCGGCGGACGCGTCCTTCGTCCGGCAAAATTTGGCAGTAACAAATCCCTGAAAACATGTAGCCAACGTTTTCAACCCCACCTCTACCTGAGCGTTATATCGACTGTATCTTTTTCTATTTCTTTTTTATTCGCTCTAAATCAAAGAAGAAGGAGAATCCGTTTGGCACTTTCTAGAGAGACCGTTCCTGTCAGGCTGAGAACTATCTATAGCTGAAAATGACGAAAGGCAGCAGGTGTCAATGGTTATACGAACCGGTGGCCGTAGTTGTAGTGGAAGACATGGTCACTGATAGGGTTAAGCAAAAATCGACCCATGTATGCAATGGCTGGTCCGAATTGGAAATCTCAGTGAATCTCCACGATTTCAATTCTTCGTCTGCGACAGGCAGGAAAATATTAGACACAAAATATTATTGATAAATGGGGTAGTATCATCAACAGCAGCAGGCGACTTCAGATCCTGGACATAAGAAAGCTAAAAAGGTTACTCGACTTTCGGAAGTTGTTTGAAAGCCGAGTTCTTGTTTGAGGCAGTGAGTTGAGAGCAATGATGGCATACGAGATCGATTTTTACCACAACATACGAAAAAAGGGTTCCACGATATATTTGATCTGCGAGGTATATTTTCTGTCACGATATGACGCTAAGAATCCCGACGTATCGATAGCGTTGCCGTCCAGCCAAGCGCTTCTTTGTTTGTTTGACGCCTGGGTATTGCCATGTGCCATCCAACCCGACGGGACGATTGACCCCTACCAGATTCTGTTATACAAACAACAGTTCTATCATAAGCCTGTCTAATGGATAACTTTGTTAGTAACAGCGTACTGGTTATTAATTCTATGTCCTTAACGTTCTGTACCTATTCGTCCGAGGGTTCCTTAAGGACAGATCGCGTATCTAATTGACGCCGCGATGCGTCGAGTAAAGTAAAATGGTTTTGCATACGATCTCAGTAATCAATTGGGCGTTTTACAGATACTGCGCTACCCTGCTACCGCCGCACTGGGACCTGCCATTATTACATATGCCCAACTTATTACGCTCAGTATATAAAAATTATAAGCAATATATTTTCGGTCTTTGTGTAGTGATTTGCATCTTGTTTTTGGTTTTCTTGTAAATAAATAGATAGGGCATAAGCAAACTTGTAAATAAATGTAGAAGAACTATATATCTAGCTGCTTCGACAGCCCTCTCTTTCTTACTTTTTCGTCTCCGACGCGCGAGGTTGTCAAAAAAGCATCACACAGTCGAAGCAGCCAGTCTTGTTTCCGCTACTTCTGCTGACGCCGTTGCTGTGCTATCAGTGAAGCCTGTTGGGGAGACTTTGAAAAGTGGCCTCATAGATGATCAATGAGGCTAGCAAGGATCGCATCTGATCACTGCAGACAAGGCGACGTTGATGCTCTGCAGCCCCAAGCCGCCCGCGCAACCATTTCTCCGGCTTCTTGGCGCTGAAACGGCAGCCGAATGAGCAGCCCAGGTCAGCAGCAGCAGTAGCAGCGCCGTACATCAGTGATCTCTGATCCGTGATCGGACACACGAACAGATGGATCCGACCAATGGATGGTGACGGGTCTGAGCCACATGATTACAACGACATGATCGCTGCAGGCGCCCCGCCGCAGCGACTGAAATAATTATGTTTGTGGTGGCTAAACGTGGCCAAAACTTATGCAACCGATGGCAGCGGGGCGAACACTTATTGACTGTTCCCATTTAAGCGAAAGCCGTTGTGCGCTGCAAGCGGTGAGGCTACACTGGCGTCTCCTTAGCAGCAATAGCTGCTCCTATAGCAGCCGCACATGCTGACTGCGTCGAAAGAGGACAGTCACGCATTTTGTACGGCGAGGGAGGCAACGCACAGGTCTGGGGAACTAGCTCACCCGTCTGGGAGTGAGCGTGAGCGAGGAACAAAGAAATCATCGCAGAAGTCGATGACGCTATTGCTGCTTGATCTAAGTAAGCGTGCGGTTCGGAACGTTTACAGAAGCGAAGCGCTTCTGCCATTACCCACGGCGAACCGCCGAGAGGCGTTTCATTGTCCGTGGTGACGCTGGTGGCTGCTGTCCTCGTTGTTAAAAAAGGAAAAGACAAAAACGCCGCCCCGTGGCGCGATTCTTTTAGTTCATGTCTTAGTCGGCAACGGCTTGGCTCTGTCCGTTAGCAGACAGATATCTATAGCAGACATTTTCTTTTCCCCTCTCTTTGTCTCCCTTAACATGTGCAGTGTCTCCGGCGTCGGCACTATCTCGTGCATCTCGAATACTCCCCCGCTGAGCGTTCAAGCCAAAGGTCAGGCAGGGCTCCCCACGATGGTTCCCTGCGGGTCTTCCTTACAGCAAATAGTAGCCGCCGACAAGAATAGCTATCTAGTGGTAAACTGTCGAACTGCTCACAAAAACGAAGCCTCCATGACTGTTGCCACGGAGATCGAACCACCGAATGGTGGGTCGGTCTGTAACTCTATGCGTCGCAGTGTGGAGGTAGCGAGCATCCAGCTAGCATAATGCTCGATAGGGAAAGTCACTCATATCAACGAATGGGCGAGGGCCTGATCAGATTCAGTTTGTCCAGGGTCTATCCGGGACTGTTTTTACCACGCTAGCATTTGACGCGGCCACGTGATCGTTTTACGGTTAGGTGAACGCAGAGATTCATGGAGAGGGCGGCTATGGGGGGTAAAAAAAACCGTAATTCATTTGGCCATGTTCCGAAAAATAAAATCCCGAATACCGATTTTTTTTTTTAATAAAAAATGTAATATTTATTACCTACGCTGTGTCATCGAAGAGGTACGCATAAGGAAAAATTTTTATTTGTTTGACATAGAACTATGTTTTCTGAACTATATAATAATAGGGAGTTGTGTCTTTTCGAAGAGCCTGCTTCCCCGCTAGAAGATAGTCACATAGAAGAGAAGACAGTTATTATGCTTCTGTCAACACTACACGTATTCCATGATTTTATGTGTTCTGTTTATCGGCACCGTCTAAAAAAAAAGCAGGTCTCTTATATATGCATCGCAGTGGACATCAGAAACAAACCGCTCATTCGACGAGCTGATCTCGTCAGACTCCCTGCGATAATTAAGGGCAAGATTAAGATAATTATCGGAGAAAACGGAAAGGGTAGTTTATTTAAAGTTCGTTGAAGTTTTTGCATCTGACAATACAATGAGAAATCTTCCGTCACTGCGCAACACGTTAAATCATTTACACGAGTCTTCAACAAGGAAACAACACAAGAGGGTTATTGACTTCAATAATAGAGAACTAGAAGACTAAATTATGCTGAGTCAGACTCTTCTTAATTCTGTATATTTCGAAGTGACGGGAGAAGGACGAATGCAGTGTCTATGGAGACATAATTCAGAGAGACATGGTTCTGGAGAGAGCGGAATAGGAACCCATAGCCGGATTGTGTCCCCTTAATATAGTTAGCTAGTAAAATTCTGAACGAAATTCGAAGTATGATTCCGATAGATCAGAGGTTTGTAATGTAATGTAGTAGTAATATATAGTAAAGTAATATAAATAAACTCTATCACGATTGGTACGCAATGTAGTAATAAGCTAGCTTAAATAAGACATCAACCTTATATTGTGAGCTTGTACTAGTTTAGCGGGATTGAGACAGGAGCTGAAGGGATTTCACTAATTTCGAATATGTTTCATGTTTTCAGGCCTTCTATCGGCAAGTAGTACGCCAGCGGAGAGTTTCAATCAGGCGAGCAACAGTTCGCCCTTGTCGCCGCATTCCCCTATCAGCGCGTCATGTAGGTGAAAAGCATGCAGTGATTCCTATAAGATCTGCCTTTATATCAACGTGTATCAATGTTAAATTGTATAGGCTCGATAAGTCCTACTATTTCGGTTAAAATACCATAAGACGCGCATTTACAAATATAACACTTAGATGCTTATCCTCTGCTAAGTCGTTCATCTCAGCTTCTCATAATTGAATCAAAGTACGGTAGTCGTCGCCTGGGTTACCCTGACCCACAGTCTCGTCCACTAACATTTCTAACGAATACTCAAAAAGAGACCTCGGCTCAGCCTCTTCTATAAAACCATAGATTTGTTCAGTCAAACAAATTTCATTCACTAAACGTTTTTTTGTTTTTTATTTTTACTGTTGCAATGACTATGGACACATCGCCTTTTCAATGCCCACTTTTCAGGTTACCATCGCCAATGGACGCCAGTGGCACAATCGGGTTTCCAGCCATACCATCCGCCCGTGTCGGAAAATAACTTGCCCCTGCCCCCAAATTCATGCTCACCCGGTTCGTATATTTGTGTGTCAGTTGTTTATGAGAAAACGTTCAACATTAGTCCAGGGAAACCGCGCACCGAATATGCCTTCTGTTTCTATCAGCTTAGGCCTTTCAATATGTTGCCGAGAATTTAAGGACTACATTAGAACGGTAACTAGCACTTGGAGTATAATGTTTCCTTTTTGTGGACACGAGGGTAAAAGTCGCTGTAATGGCGTAAGTAATTGCGTCGGTAAGAGTATTTCACCCCAAATAGAATAGTTTGCATACACGTATTCTTTTTCCCGTTCGGTCTGTTGTTTTTTCCGGTTACCAGAACTATTTCAGCGAGTGCAGGTTACGCTCGAAAGTTTATAGATGATTATATGATGGTGTCATCTACTTTTTTTTTTTCGCACTCATATTCAATATATGTGGGGGCATAAGTGAAACTGTTGATTAACATTACTTTCCTTTATTCTTACCATATTCTCGATCTGTTTTTACAGGCGCTCCCGGCGCTGGCGGTTCGAACTCAAGCCAAATAGAAGATACTTTGGAAACGGAAAGCATCAAATCTGAATGTGAGAGCCTTTCGTCCCAAAGTAATGTCAAAGGCAACTGGGCAAAGCAGGCGCGCGAAAAAAAACCCTATCCTGGTGTTATTGGTGGGTATATTCATGGTGGAGGAAACAAAGTACGCCTTTGTTCCGATACTTCTCTTTAGATTGGTTTGAAAGTTCATTTTTGTAGATGCAGGATGGCATCAATGCGCCTCTGTTCAATTTTTCTTATTACTTAGAACTTACCCTAAGTAGCTGAGAACGATTGCGAAGGTAAGACGACGACTAGTTTACACGCTCAAAGTCCTACTATGTATAGCAAATGCAGCGGGTAACCGAACCGCTATGATCGACAACCATAGTATAATATCCATAAGTTACAGGGGAGAGTACGTGCTTTCCCAGAGCGACTCAGACGTGAGACGTGTGTGCGATCATTTCATCATTCCGACGTGAATAACCGCTATAAATTTAACAACAATATTAACAGCTGAGATCGTAGATCCGGTCAGTTGCTCCATTTCAACGACAAAAAAAAAACACGTTAACTATACAATGCAAAATCGATTTAGGCTTTCTATGATCAGAACAGCGTATTATTGTTATCGAATGGTCGTGGTAGTGTATAGAACGGTGTTAAATTAAGACGACATCTCTCTAAATGAAATATGTTCTCCCAGATGCAATGAAAAACTACGTTTTGGATAAAACGTCCGTTGGCACTCGCGACCCCCATCGACCACGTCATCCAGAGTCACGCTCCCAGAGTATAGTTCATTTAGCAGCTTACAAGTGTCTTGATACACTGATCTGTAATCGAAGGGATTACATTTTGTGGTTCCCTTTTGGGCCCAGGACGCTCCCAATCCAGTACGACTGCCATTATTTAAACGGTGGCCCTGTCGAGACAGGCCGTTGTCGCAGTTTCATGCACGCTGGCCACGCCTCATGCCGACGCTACTGCTTTGCTTCATTTGCCTATGCGTCTGCGTGCGTGTTGGTAGGTAATCATGTTGTTCACGCGTCGACAGCGCACCTGTCTTTGCGGGGACGTTTCACTCTGGATGTCAAATAGCTAATCTACACCCGGCTGCTGAAATCAACGTATGTGTGAACCATGCTTCGGCAGCAGGTTTAACTTTGGCGTCTAGTAAACATAGCCGTCGCCCCGCTGGACAGCGTTGAGCATGCCAAGCGCTTGATGGTGAAAAGGCAGCGTTGGCTATCGAGGAAAGTAACGATGACTTACTTGTCTGAGGTAGTCTCCCTCTACTGGCTACAGTAACTATCAATATGACTTTAACGGCACTACCTCCACGTATAGCCTGCCCTAGGCCTGCCTAGGCCTAAGCCTGCCGCTTATCAGCGGTTTAAAAGCTCAAGAGGCCGATGATGGCGCGTCCATTGTCCACACATTTATCGCCCATAGACCAGTTATAGTTGTGTTCTTTTCCGTCTGCTTGGCTTAAGGAACAGCGTAAGATCGCCAAACGGTTTGAGTTTTTGCTGTTTTGTGGGTTTACGTAGACGTCGCCGCTCAGCTGTCGCCGAGACCCAACCTATCCCCAATGAATCTCTATTTTAGCTTCCTCTTGTTCTCACTGAATTTTCCCTCATCTATTTTAGCGTTTCTCTGATATGAACCACGAACTCGTTGTACGAGTACATACCAAACAGGAACAAGCACAGTGAATACAAATAGGTACAACTAGTTTGTACCCGGTCTCTATCCATTTGCTAAACTGCTGCGCCTATGCGACTAGATGAAGGTCTAGCATGTGAGCTCCTCCCGCTCCTCGTCAGCGTCGCCACCGTCGCCGAGGTTAACTAATTTGTAAATTGACGTACAGACACCTTTCTGACGATACAAATATAACTGATAGAGTTTGTTATCAATAGCCACTTCTAGGGTCAATCGTCTATTAGTTAGGTTCTAATAGTGAACGCTTGTCCTAAACGTAACTTTCTCACCGAGGTGGCATGTTGATGATCGGTATATGGTTCACTGGAGATAATGACGACGCCCACAGTGGTAATCTAGCCATTGTCACGTATACATGTATTTTCACAGAAATATGTGCGAAACATACATATCTGCGTCGCTTAAGGTTAATTTTCCCTGTCCCCTTTCGGCCGCGGCCACGCTCGTTTTTCGCGCTCGTCCGAAGCAAGCAACAGGAACAAACAACTATGGGTTATAATTACCAAGTGACGTTTTCTAGTTCAGTGACACGAGAAGGGCAGCGATCCTGATTCGACTGATCAGGCAAATATGGCAAAAACTGAATCCGCTATACCGCCACTATTGCCATCTTCAAGCATTTACTCACAGCGAAACCGAAGGAAAAAATCCGAAGGAAAACCGACAAAAAGAAGCAGAGCTTAGAGCTGCAAAGAACCCGAATCAGCCTACACATACAAACGAAAAGAGATAAGAAGGTACCTAACGAAGTAAGACGGGAGGGAGAGTGGCAGTCATAGGAGAATGAGCTTGGTCAGACGCCGCGTACTACTACGGTTTGGATCTGGAGCCGCCGCGTTTCGCCGATACAGCAGACTGTCCCTTCTCCACACGGCAAAACGGTACGTGTATCAATTCAGCCAGTAGAAGCGCTCTTATTAGTAGAAGCTAGAGTCACCGCTGCTGCTGCTGTTGGTGTTTTTGTTGTAAGCTGCTACCACCGCTGTAGTAGCGCCAGAAGCCGACGGTTGGACGTTAGGCTGTAGCGGACAGGGCGGCAATTTGTGCCGAGAGCGGCCCAGTTACGCGCATCTGATACCTTTTAGCTTGCGGCAGCTTTTCTGATATTACTACCACAACAACAACAACAACAACTATTACTACGACTGCGGGTCTTTTTTCTTTCCGCAACCGCTGCATTATGCCCGCCGCAGCACCGTCTGCTGGCTCTCCGATAGAGAAATTGTCGTTTCGCCGATGCACGACGATAGAGTTGAACGTCACTTTTCGAGCGCGCCGATCGTTTAAATTGGAGCGATTAGTCAGGTCAATGTCGCTATTTACAATGACAGGATATACATTGGTAGCTGGCACTGATAACGGTAGGTGCTACTGTTATGGTAGAGGCAACTGTATGTAACAGATAGCCTCTCGATAGCTCCGTTGTGGTTAAAGTTGCGAACAAAAAAACGCCGGCTAGATAGATAATAATCGGTGCTCGAATAGTTCCAACGAAGATTCACGTAGTAGTCGAATCGAGGGAAGGAACGAATCGAAACATCCAGCTAACAACTACTCAGCTATTATTTATAGAACCGTAAAACCAGCAACAGTATTAGTGTGGATACCATTCGTATGCGCGGTAACTGGCGAGCGTCAACTTGGAACTAATCAAAAAAACAAGGAACATTTAGAACTTTCGGTGAGGCAGCCCCAAGGCACAGGCACAGTTAGCAGCGTTTGCCAACGTGCGGCAACGCTGCGAATAGGCGTTGAGCAGGCCACAACGAAACAGCAATGGCGGCTTACGCCGGCAGTCGAAAGGCCGTTAAATTATGTGGCCCCGTTACATGGCTCGGTGCCGCCCTTCTTCTCCCATCGGCCACTGCGAGCGTGGCGATCGCGAACTCACTCGAACCGCGCCGGTACCACTCCGACCCTCAAAGTTCTTTGACACACCCACCACGGAGCCAGTCAGCGAGAGCTTCTTGCCACACATCCGCAATTGACGTGGGCCGATCGCACGGCTGGGACTCACCACACTCGGGGAGGCCTCTTTTATTCTATGATCCCGGCACGTCTGTGGCTATTAGTTCCACGTGTCGAGCGAAACACTCCACTAGGCAGGGAGGGGCGGGCCTCTAGAAAAGAGGACCTTCATCCGGTGGAAGGAGCCTCTCAGTTTTGATGGATCCTCCCTATTCTTGCGCAACATAAGAAGAAAGAAGACTGCGCTGGTCGTCGTATAAGTCAGTTGGGACGAACCTAGCATGTAGCTAGCATTACGTCGCTGGAGACCACAAAGGCCAGGGCGGTTAGAGATCCCTGCGTTTGGGTCAAGGTTCGCTGAGTGAGCTGTGGCTTGAAAAAGGAATCGAACCGAGCCCCGTGAGTTCTTGATACTGAACGTCGAAAAGCAGGAGAGCATCGATGAAAGCCTATCACTTTTAAGGATAAACTCGTTTGTTGTTTGCGCACATCTTCAATAGCAACTGGAGCAGTCTTCTCTGTAGTTTGAGTTTACTTATGAGGCGGTGTCTGACGCCTAGACAAAGGATGACCGCACGATTCCCTAACCGCAAACAATTGAGCTCTGATTCGCGATCAATGAGCGGTCGCACAACCAAAAAAGATGAAGACACGGTAAACAATGGTTGTATCGACGCGACCCTACCCCCGATCGATTTTCCGAGGTTCTGATTAGAAATGTGATGAGTAGACAGGCGAGGTGGGGGCGGGGAGTTGTTGGCTAAACGGTCGCAGTTTAACATGCTTGGTGGGAGCGATAGGCAGACAAACCATTGAGATTTAGCGACCTGTGTCCAGACGGACCATAAACAAATATGATGAACAACAAGCTACTCAGGTGATCGCAGCTGGCCTTGTTTGATAATGCCGCCCTTTGAATCTTGTTATTGAGTGCTGCTAAACTGGCAAAATGGTGCTTTAAGATTGTTGTCACGGCTTCCGCCCCTTTCTCCTTTTACTGTACAGCGATAAACACATCTACGGAAACAAACTGAGCAAATTTCGTAAACAACAGTGGTATAAATAATAGTTGTTTTGCTAGTTATAGTTAAATGAAATAGAATAGAATAGAATAGAATAGAATTCCGCGCACAGCTCATGGTGCCGTACTAGAAGAGACCAGACAAATGTTAGCCTGTCGATAGCGCTAACTAATTTCCTTCTAGCGTCTAGATAGTAGTTTAATCTGATTCTTAATGTTTTCAGGTAAAACACGAACAAAAGACAAATACCGCGTTGTCTACACCGATCACCAAAGGCTTGAACTTGAGAAGGAGTTCTGCTATTCGAAGTACATCACGATCCGGCGCAAGGCTGAGCTTGCCACCGCGCTCAACCTTTCCGAGCGACAGGTGAAAATTTGGTTCCAAAATCGTCGAGCTAAGGACCGTAAACAGGCGAAAAAGCGAAAAGGTGACGGCTCTGAGGATTCCGGGGTCCGCGATGGACTTGCCTCATCGCTGACGCCTTCACCAGATCCGCCACGTTACGACGAACTCGGCCAGAGCTTGCGACCATCGCTCGATAGCCTGCGAGCACCTCCAACCGGCCATCCTCTAGTCAATGTTGGTCTTACTGAGCCGGTACCCCTCGATCCCGGTAGTATCCAACAGATCAATTCGGACGACTACCCGCAACACATAGCGCTAGGCTCACAGCATCTGCAACTTGGTTCTCAATCTACACACGGTCAGTCGGTTGGCGCTGGTATTGTGACAAACGGTCCTTTATGTACCGTTGGTCCTGGAAGCCATAGTGGACTCCTTACCTCGCACAGCAGCTCCTCACAGCAACTCCCCCCCTTAACGCATGGGCAACAGACTCCACCGGCACATGCGGTCGCTCCGCATGCTCCGCTACAAACAGCCTCGACTCAGCCCATTCTAGCGAGCACTCATCCACATCAAATCTCGGCAATTGTTGAACATCCTCACCTTTCACACCCCACCCATCATGCCCATTCGGCATACCATCACCTACTGCTGGTGCCGCCCCGGCCTGAGGACAACGCGAACCGCCCGGTTGATATTACTAACGGCGACCTCCGAGACAGAGATGACCATTTATATTCATCGTAGTGAGCCTAGTGATACGTTATAGGTTGATACGAAAAAGGAATAACATAAATGAAGAAAAACGATATATCAGATTGTGTAGCGGTATGATTATATATTTAATTGATACGATGCGATCGATGTAAATGAAGACATTATGAAGATAACCGGGAATCGACTGACGATTAGCATCGTATGAGCGACACGATGTCCGTACTACGAAGTGCCATGAGAACTATAAGAAAGGGCGAAAAATGACAATTAGAGTTAATTAAACGTTTGTAAATGATGAACGAATAAGGGCATCTGAGTGAGTGACGAGTATTTTAAAATTCAGCTTAAAAGAACATTACATTTCAAAGCTAATGATTGAAAGCAAGTGTGATTTAGAAGTCGACAGATGGATGGAGAAGGGTTATATCAAGTTTGAAATACACGATGCCATTGCGAGATATGGCGCTTGTTCGTTAAACAATGTCCCCATCTGTGTATCTGTAAAAAAAACGATAGAGGACATTATGGATGAGGCGCAATAACTGATGGGTTAATTCGACTGTTAATGTAATTAAGACAATTTTAGGAAATTAAACAAAAAAATCATGATACCTTAAAGAGCAAAACAATGACAGGGTTCCTTTAACCTAATTATTATAGCAACGAGGCACTTGATAGGGTGGCACATTTTGAGTGTATTATAATATGCCTTTATGGACTGCTTCAGTTCGATGTCTTTGAGGGTGAGAAAATGCCCTGGCGATAGACAGGCAGCATGATAAGCTATAGCGACTTTTTCCATATGCGGAGTTCTCATTGTAGGTTTGACTTCACTTTGAAAATTACACATACGGTATTATAATGATAAAAATCGTGTGTGTAGGCAGTTATTGGTGTGGCTGCAACAGGCCCAGCCAGCAGCGCTGATACGTCGACGCCGCTCGGCGTATAGATGCAAACGGCCGCGAAGGTACTTCAGCCAGCGGAAACGATAAGGACGAACTAATAGGTGCTTGACTGACATTATAGCAAATTGCGAGTCGTGCATCACAGGTCACATTGCTGCCTATGAGCAAACTCACTGCGTACCTTCTCGAGGTAACCTCTCGCGTGGCATTACACATTACTCGTCATGTGTACAAATTAAAACCAAATACGTAAAACACGGTCGAATGCTCCAGCAGATCAGCTGAGTGATTGATAAATTATATATATATATATATATATATATATCGCAATGGTAATGGTGGGAATGAGGGTACTGAGAAAAAACTGATCAGTGTCGAAGAGAACGTTTTGGGTGGACCGTGGACGAAACAAACTGTGCCTCGCACATGTTCGACACGAAGTAGCCTTATGAAGTCTAGCTTAATGAGAGTATGTAGTTCAATTTCGATATCTAAAGTATTGCCGGAAAAACACCGATGTCGAGGCGTAGTTTTAATAAATTATGTGTGTATAGATATATATATATATACGAGTGAGGCACGTGTCGTTTTTAACTTTTCTGTTTTGAACAAGAACACTTTTTTCCATCAAGAACATCGCCTTCTTGATGGAAAGCAAAGTGTTTGAAAAAACAAGTATTTTGAGCGTGGGTAGATTATTAAGAAGACTAGTTTGTTTGCACATGTATACGCTACTGAGTACGAAATCCCTAGCTATTTAAGTAGTAAGGGAAAGATTGCAGGTCTAGTTTGGGAAAATTCAAATTAATCTGCGCTTGATTACCGTCAATATGACAATAATACTTGTTGCTAGGTGCGTTCATTAGATACTTATAGTATAGACATCTGAGATTTCTATCCTTTTCGAAAATATGCAGCAATTAGGCCACACATTTAGCCTGACGCCGTCAAGGGTTACCTTTGATAGCAATTAGGCAAACTGAGGATTTGAATACAGCGTTCAGATGGCTCCGAGGATGGTGGAAACCCATTGATATCGACGCCATAATGATGCCACGGTAAGTTGTTGTGGGCAACGTATTGAACTTAAAATGGACCACCCAGTCATCAGTCACCTCGCAATTGAATCTCACGACCACTGCACTGATTCCTTGACAGCCAGAGATATATCATTCCTTCCAAATAATATCGAGCAGTCCGACTCCGAGACTGCCGTTCTCCGTTTTCCAGGCCGATGTCCTCGAAGCATCGTCAAAAAGCAGACGAAAAGATTAATACCTAATATGCATCGATCTATCTAAATATTATAAAACTACACTTGTACTTTAATGTGTTTTGCTGGTGATTAATTAACATGATTGTTTGCGTATCTTTATCTTGCCCAGATGATTTACTAATCAGGTCAAGAATTCTCTTTGAAAAAAAATCATCTTGTGTCTGTCAATGAGCTGTGTTGATGCGGTTGGCTTCTTCAAATCGCTCCGCCTTTGCGAGGATTAGTGGAGAGGGTAATGTTTTCACTACGGGAACAATTATCATTCGTGTTTCGTTATTATTTACGTTACATTCGCTTACCTGTTTATCGATCGGCACTCCATCACCTGAGGTCGGTAACTTCTAATGACAACAATTGCAACACCGGTTACCGGAATATCGAATTCTGGCTGATGCTTCCAACAGAATTGTGACATGATTACCCAACTGGCGACTACAAACGAATGAAAGGTGATAGCAGCTGAAGCTGGGCCTATTACTTGTCCTGTCCTTAAAAGTGATACCGCTGTGATACTCAGCCAGAACTAACCAGTTACTTCATTACCGAATAATACTCGCACAAAAACGTCCTAAAATTTTCCGCAGACAACGATGGTGGCTCGTAAATAATCAAAGACGGGATTTTTTTACGGCTCGCCATTTTGTAAGATGATAAACTGCCGCTTCAATATCATTACCTTATCCAGGTCTGTCAAGTGCATCCCAGCGAACGAAAATGGTCGTTCTATTTTCTAGGCAAAGAACATCAAGTTCATACCTTCTTTCGAAGCCATCTTGGCCAGCAACGTAGGTTAGAACTTCACAAGGGCTGCAGAAGCCCATTTCAGCAAATATGATTTGAATTTTCAAAGGTAATTGGCACTCGCAACCATCGTGGATGCTGACGTCAATGATTTGGTAGCTTTTAGAGCTAGAGATGCTGACTGACGGTGGGCATCGTTTGCTGCCTCGTAAAAAGTCGTTCTGAATTTTCTCTCCCATCTTCATTCTAAAATTACAGCCGTTAATAACCTTTGCACGTTAATATACGACAGCGATAGGAACAGCAAGTGTGAGGGCAAGTACTAGCGAAGAATTTCTTTTTTTGTGCTAGAGTTTCAACCGTATGCTACTAAATTGGGCTATTTCAAGCCAACAAAAAACTGCTCAAAGCGATTTAACGCTGAAGAAGGCTATATAATAGAACAGGCGGGATCATTGCGCTCCCTACGAATAACAGTCTTTAAAAAAGTGGCAACCTTCCGATTCTGTATATCTATCGATCTATATATCGTGTAATGATGGACATTTGACCCCTATCTGCGTTACTAGTTTCAGTTTTCAAATGGCAATTTTCATTATTATTTCTTTTATTATCATAAAAATTAACTGCTTATATGTTACCTTCGAAATAAACAAATCATGGATAGACTGACACGGAGCTGAGCATCCTTTTACTAATTATTTTCATAGTAAGCTTGATAGAATGTTTAAGAAGAGCACTTACTTTTAGCTAACGGTATACAATGATGCAAGGTCGCTCTCGTCCGCCACCTTGAATACTTTTAGTTTTTACGTTGAAATAGAATATTACTTAATACCAACCTCTCGTAACCTTATGGGAACAACATTAGGTAAAAAGGTCGTTTATCTCTACATACAGAAAGCAAGCGATGCTCAATCTTAACTCCTTCTTCCCAGACCACCGAGCCTTAAGTGATGTGCGACATCATGAACGCTCCAGCATCAGCATTATTGTCATGCAATTACGGAACGAAACAAACACGTCTTTCCAGTCTGCTGTTTCTTTGTTATTTATGTACTTGCTTTTGACGATCCAGTGCCCCCTTTCTTTCTCTCAGCTGAATGCCTACAGAGGTTAATTGTCGAAATCCTTTTTATCATGGTCGCTTACTCGTTGTAGTTTGTCGTTAGACTTTTGCGCGCGATCTAGATGAGCAACATCAGCAGAATCTCGACTGCAGCCATAATGATATCGTGAAGGGAAGACTAGGGCTTGTGGGGGTGATATAATCGGCTATGGCGGGGCTTGTCGACTACCCCGCGTAGCTATCAGATACAGCGATCGCCTTTTCTGTGGGCTCTACATTGTTGGGTCATCTTAGGAAAGGAAGACTGCTGCTACTCAGCCAATAGAAACGGGCGACGAGACAGCATCGAAAACATAGAGATGTTTCAAGCTGCGAATAATGGAAAGCAAAAAAAAGAGCTTTCTTACGCATCGAGAGATAGCAGACAACGACTCCCTGAAGGACGATGATCGATTTTTCTTCACCACTGTGCGATCTCCCTAGGCTTCAATTCAGCGAATAGAAATGGGAAAATCAGAGGAGTATGAATGTATAGTTGGTACGCAATCTTGCTCGCTGAAGGCAAAGATATTATTTGTGTAATTCAATCGAAAAGCTTAGAGAAATACTTGGCAAGAAAACGTTTTTTGCCACTGTGATTTAACCAATAATCTATTACACACGAACGAGTAGTTCTCACAAGATGTGACGGTTCTACTGAAGTCAAATTTAATTAGAAATTGCCTAACGCCAAGCAAAAGATTTACTGATTTAGTTATTGTTTATTTAGTAAAAATATATTCTTTCTGAGGGTAAAATGACGATGACGAAAAGAGAATCAATTTGAAGTTTCATATCGCCTAAGGAAGCGACCGAGCGCTCACTGATCATTGATGAACGATATGTCGGAGAAACGGTCGGCTTACATCAGCATATATGGGAAAACGTCCAAAGCAAATCATGTCCGTGAAAGAGGAGCGGGTTTCGAATGCGACCCGCTAACTGCGGCCATCTTTACCCGTCGAAACGCGCGCGGGGGAGGAGCTTCGAAGGTTGTTTGCCGTGGTCGACCGATCGT